GAAGAAATTCCGATAGACCACGGCTTCAAAGCCCGGAAAACATTCCTAAATGTAATTTATTTTTTATTTTGAAGCCGTGGTCTATCGGAATTTCTTCCTGACGTTTCGTCCACAACTGCGGTGGACATTTTCAAAGGCGATGAGGCAGTGGGCGAAGTGATCTCCCGTGCTTTCCGACTAAGAATCTGACTAGGAATCTTAGTGACTAAGAATCTTAGTCAGATTCTTAGAGCCTTCATAGTCAGTGAATAATTGTAAAGGTGCTTGCGATATTACAGGCACGTAAAAAATATGTTTTGCCCAGAACTGTGTTAATTTCATCTCCAGTAATCCGGCAAAAATCACTTCAGATAGAAATCAGAGTTGAATGTTTTCGAAGCCAAATTGCTTAATACTTGAGGGAGAGAATTACGGGTGAAATGAGCACAATTATCCCCACTTCCGGTTTATGACTTGGATCTAAACTCCCAGAGTCCCCGCCGCGATGAGTTCGCCAAAGAAGATAGAAATTTGGTGTTACGTGTCAGATGATGAATCGCTTCCCGTCTCGACGATCGGCGTCGAGCTTCGGGCGCGCTTTCTCCTAATCTGTATTATTTGTCATCTCAATTCACGTCCTTATATAAAGTGGAAATGTATTCTTTTAGCCCTCAATAAACAGCTCCTGGTTTTATCTTTCGGCTAACACCATTTTCATTTGCCACGTCTTAAGCCAGACATTAGACAAATGTCCTGGTTATTAAATTTATCTGGCGGAACGCTGAGAAACCAAAATGGGCGTTTTAATTAGATCTATGAATTACCAATAGATCCGCCAATAATTCGATTAGCACGAGTATTCCCGACGGAGATTGTTAATACACATTCAGAAATTCTATTAACCGTGTCCATATTGATTAGAATCGTTATGGTAAATCCTGCAAATACCAGGACTTGCTGAACATTAGCCAGAAAATAATATTTAGTAAGGATTTGAAACATGGAACTCAGGTTTAGTGATGTTCCGCCTTAATTAACGCAGGTTTGAACGTCTAATTAACTACATGCGTTGAGGGATTACATATAGCAGTAAGCATAATCCCAATTAGCTGAATTATAGCAAAATGTGCTCGGCTTGGACATGCAAGCGTAAAACGGCGCAAACGAGCGTATATCAAGCATGTACCTGCAGTTGTAATGAAGATTAAGCAATTCGTTCATCATTGATTGGTCAATGTTCCTGCAGAGGCCGATTTGAGCAAACGAGCTAGAAGAAACTATTCTCTTCCTCTGCCTCGTGTACACCCATAATAAGAGAAACATTCGTTACCTTGGGCAATTAATATCAGTAAGCAAATGGGGAAATTATGCATTTCATTACCACTCCATTCGTGAAAATAAATCAATAGATTTATGGGTGAGTGAGAGTGGAAAAAAGCTCTCTTAATAAATTAGAGACAAACGGGCGCAACAGTCAGCCACTATATCATAGAGTGGAAACGGAATGGGCGTTAAAACCCGAGATGGGGTGAGAAAAAGGAATCAAATTGAAATAATACGTGTCATATCTGGATATCTACAGACGAAAATGCGATTATTTAGTGGACTGTGAAATATGACTGGCTTACGAAACTAGATTTACACTGCGGTGCATTTGATAAATGCCTGTTTACCGGCGCTTTAGTGAGTTGCACACTGTTCCTAAATTATCTCACTTAATCCCAGATGAAGAATTTTTCGCACAGCCCATCATTTAAATCGATAAACCGCGGCAATCGATTTTTCTCACTCAATACAGAGTGTTACAAAAGCACGACAAGTTCACACACCAAAACTTTCTCTACCAAGCGTTAGAAAATCGAAGAAACTTTCACATCGACACATATAGTAACATATTGTAGCAAGAACAAGTAGTAATTAAATTAAAATCACATTTCGAAATTCACCGTATGCTATGAATCAAAAAAGGGCGATAAAAAGAGGGCGAACTGTTATACCGTGAAATTATAATGTAAGTTCAACAAGGTGGATATATGACAAGTTATCGATGTCCTTAAATACTAATGTTAGAAACAATTAAATCTGAATTAAATCGTACGAGTCGCACACATGCACCGAAAAATATGTAAATCTAACACGACATAAGGATCATTAAGTGTTATGAAGTGAACAGTTTTCAAACCTTTTCCGGATTTGTTGCGTGCAGTGTACGCATTAAAAAGTTGCGATAAGGGCTCGACCTGTGGTACGTTGTACAGTGGTCCTTCATACTTGTTCAGGGCATAAGCAAGCTTTTTTGGAAAAGAAAGCGACCAATTTTGGTCCCATTTGATTTAATATGTTAAACGCTATTAAGTCGGAGGCGAAGTAAAAAAAACTAGATCAGATGAAGGAAATAAATGGGCCACTTATTATAACACAATATTTGCATTTTAAATATGGAATATTAATAGTTCACACGTTGGAGGTTTATTTTTAGTTGCTAGAATAGTGCTTTGGACGCGCAATTAATCAATCATTTTCATTCCTTGATGGTTCCGGTGAAGACCTCAGTCGTATTCACCTTAATCAACATATTGGAAATTTCAGTTTAATTGCAAATGCTGGATTTTCACCATGATTCATTCTTAAGACCACTGCAGGCCAGCAATTCCCTGAAGTGTTAAGCAGGTGGAGGTCTGACGCTTTCATGCTCTGCCCTACTGTTTATTTTTTGTGTAAATTGTGACTAGCCATTTTCCACTTAATTTCATGCTGCGAAGTTGTTTATTCAAAGCCGTAAAAACTCCTAATAACTATAAAAGAACTTTTTATGTCACTTTGGAAGCAGGCGTTCTGAATTTGCCTTAATGACACTTCGCTAAAACTCATTTTTTTGATTAACACATTTTACAGTTTTACATTCTCACTGGCAAAGTTCTACATGCATCAAAGGGACGACAAAGGTTAAGGTGGCTCACAGATTTAGTCGGCAAATTATCCTTCCAACGTGCAAGGACGATCCAAAAAGACTGCTTAAAACGAGTCAAAAATGTTGAATATTTCGGGTCACAATCGACCCTCCCCCTATGAAAATTTCGGTCAAAACTTGAAATTTCGTATCAGTGTTTTTTGGGCTCATTGAATTGTTTTTGCCCTAAGAAGCTCAATAATGTGCATATATGAGGTGTTTGGGTCGATAATAAGGAAGATATCGCCGGTTAATATCTATTAATTAATAGTTCACGTTTTGGGGATTTAATTGCAAATGCTGGATTTTCACCATGATTCACTCTTTTCGCTCGTCCTGAATTTGCCTAAATGGTACTACGCTAAAATTATTTTTTTTGATTAAATTTTGCATTGTCACTGGCAAAGTTCTACATGCATCAAAAGGATGATTAAGGTTAAGGTGGCTCACAGATTTCAGCATTTAGTCGGCAAATTATCCTTCCAACTTGCAAGGATGATCCAAATGCATGAAGATAAAACTTACAACTCTCGTTGGCTCAAATTGCATTCTCTACTAGACCCAATTCCGGCTTTATAGTAACATGCAGAATCGAATAAATTAAGGCACAGAAGGAACGTGCTTTAGATGTTCTTATACCGATGTTTAGAGACTTTCGGGATTTTCCCTAATTAGTTTTTTATTTTTCTCTCGTTATTCTCAAGATTTCGTAATTAGCAAAAGTCGGAAAATTGCCCGCAATTTGGACGAACTTCTTCCTGTAACTATAGTTATTAAGTCGGCGAAATCTAAAGTAAAGACCCACTCTTAGCCTGATGACGATGGAGGCAATTAGACATTTTCGACAAAAGTATACTTCTTGCGAAGTTCCAGAGAAGCCTCTTATGTTCGCTCCGGCGTTTTCCACTGATCCTGTTAATCCTGTGTATCGCATCTATTAGCAACTGGGAATTTCAGATTGGCCGCAAGACATTTTTAGGACGGTTCCAGGAGATTTTATAGATTTATTACCTAGCTTCTAGCATTATCTTATCCTAAACTCCCTTAATGTTCACCCATGTTAAGACGTTAAGAGTAATGCACTCACATTATTTAACCCTTCTAAGTGTTCTCCGACGTTTCCGTGAAATTGCCATTTCCATTTTCCGCTAAATTTACATGTTGTTGTCGTCTCTCCGATGAAAGCGCAACAATTCCGAACATTTACCTTCTTCTTTACCGAAAATCTTCAGCCTTAAAACCTCCAGAAAATAAAACGTAGCTTCCCGTCGGGAATTTCCACATGGAATGCACCAAAGCGGTGCTTGGATAATTATAATCAAAGGAGTTATTTGTGAAACGTCCATCCACCAGGCCAATCAATAGATGCTATGCCCAGTTCGCCCTAATTTAATTTAGTGGCCAAACCATCCATGACTTGCAATTCATTCCATTTGATGATTAACGTATTATTGGCGTCATGTCTACTGGCATACAGTTTCACGTATAATGGAATTCCTGCAAATGTATCGGACGTTTTTCACGTTTATGTAATTTATCCAGCATCTCGAATGGTACAAAGCATAATGGGGTGGAGACGCTTTTAAATAAAGCGACGATAGTTAGAAACTAACGCCCTTTAGTTATATTTCCTTGAAATCGAACCATTTACTCCGGATTGTCGCATAAAGAGCCGAAGTCATAACAATAAGACATAAGGCTGCGAAAAGAGCAAGCTCAAGACGTTCTCGGGGTTAATATCAACAATTCACCAGGCATTACTTATAATGGGTGCTCGCCATTCCGGCACCCGCATAAACCATAAGTTTATTTCGCTCGTTTTTCGAATTTTGTTTGCTGATCTCTTCTTTACTGTACTTTTCGTTACGATACACTACCCAAATTAATTGCCTACGATTTCAAAGTACTCTGACTGCTGCGTGAAGCATTTGCCAGGACGTTTTATTCTTGAAGTTGTGTTTGGAGTAATATATTTTCAAACTGAGTTATAATCAGTTTTTCACGTCTGCCTTAAA